TTCTGTGAGTATGGAGTCATGAAAATGTAAATAAAAATTAAACACTTTAAAGTAAAACAAACAGTCAGTATTTTTATAAGGAAGAAATTAGACAACAGAAGTATATGTATGGCCTGACAGACACTTAATATATTTGCAGTCAAATTAGTATCTCTATTCCAACAGTAAACAGTACTTCTTTAAATACAGGATTTCTAGAATAATGCGAAGAGATTGTAATTGCAGACACCAAAATCTATAATCTCACTTGTCTTAGTTAAGCATTTATTAAGTGCAACTTATGTTTGATAAAGAGATAAATTAACACTATAACTTGTACATTTTTGCTTTAGTTGCATAAGAGCTAAACTTTACTATACTTAATACTGTCAATAAATAAACTTATAATGTTATTATATAACCTAAAGTTAGACCTTTTTAAAAACATTAATATGCTTTTAATGTGTTGTACAAAATGTCTACTAAAGTATATTTACATCTGCCTTTTGTTTACATCTCTTCAAATGAACTGTGCGCATTTAATTAGTATGGTGCATGCACTTTTTTAGGACAGAAAAACTGAATATTATTATAATATATTTTGCAGATTGAGAACCAATGATAATTTATATATCAAATATGTATACATACGTGTATACAGTATCAAATATAATACACATTTTATCCTTCTTTTAAATCTTTAAAAGGATGAAATTGGTAAGTATGCTTTGCTAATAATCATACATAAAAGCATTCCTTACACATTCTAACAGTACTTTTTATAATATTCATCTTCAATAATGGTACTTAAGTGCAGAATCAGATAGTTCAGTATTTCATAAAATACTACAGTTTTTTCTAATTTTTTTTCAAAAACGTTTAATTCAAAATAAATAAGTTTCTTTCATGTTAATTTTGAAGTTTCTATTTTTCTGCTTGGTTTTTATACTTTAATTACAAAGTACAGGAGCTATATTATTGGCTGCAAGTTTCTACAGTGTTCTGTCATTTTTATAAGGTTCACATTTCAATAAAAAACATGTTTCACCTACTCGCTGTTAATTCAGCATTAATGGACAGTGTGTTTGGTGGATCTCTGAGAAATGAAATACATCATTAGAAATGGTAAGAGCATTAATGAAATGTTGGTTAGGCTATGTTAAAGTTCAAATGTTGAAATTCAAATGTCTGTAAGCTGGCACAGAAGTGGCAGAATTATAGTTCTGTATTTTTATATTTTAAGTAATCTCAATTTCATTCAGATTGAAGGAAAGCCCTTTTAATAAAAGTTTCTTAAAATTGAAATGAATAAACATCCTATAACCCAAGCGCTATCAAAAGGTGGACCTTTCTTCTTCAAGGGCAAACTGTTTGCACCTGAAGAAGAAAGGTCCACCTTTCAAAAGCTCTCGGGTTATAGGGTTTATATTCATTTCTATCAAGACTTCTTGAATGTATGTGTTTTTCTTACATCATAAAGTTTCTTAAAATGTTAACTTTTCAAACTGAGATAATGTGGGGGTTCATAAGAGACTAAATCAAGTATCTGTGTAACTAGAAAATCTATATTGTTATAGAGAATATTTGTGTTTCAATTTTTATTTTACATAATATATAATTGTGGTTTACTTGTAGATTAACTTTAAAATTTTCCTTTAGTTTGTTCTTTCTATATTCGTTATAAAGGTTTATAATGTGGGTGAGAAACAGTCAATAAATAAACAATGAAAAAGTTTTACTCCACCAGTGGAGTAAATCCTGTTCATTGTCTATTCATTGAATGCAATCTTTGTAGGTTGGTAGTTTTAAATGAATATATGACACAGATTTAACATACTTTTCTCACTACATAATAATATTTTTTATTTGACCATAAGATTTCAAGGTTTTTTCAAGAACTGGTCAACTAGTAAAGTTAAAAATTCAGTAACACAACAGAAACAAAGAAGTGTTGTTTATGGTATAAAATCTAGTTACAGGAAGGAATATAATGGTAAAACAGAAAGACTATTACAAGTGCATACTCAGGAACTCGAGGAATCTTTGCATGCTTTTGAATCTCAGGTTATCTGTACTATCAATGAACACAAAGTGTTGCATAAAGAAGAAATTGAATTGAAGAACGTCCACATTCTAGATAAAGAGGCACATTACAATTGTTAAGGAAACATTACATATCAAAAATACTAAATATTAAAATGCATCATCAGTGACTGGAAGGGTTAGTTAACTATTTGTGGATCTATTGCTAAAGTACATTGTATTATCTCCCCATCATTGATTCACCAAGTTTTGCATAATTACTTCATAACAACATTGTATCATCTATGATAATTGCATATTATTCTGATGTTAATGCATCATCAGTTGTGACTGGAAGGTGTTAGTTAACTGTTTGTGGATCTATTGCTAAAGTACATCGTATTATCTCCCCATCATTGATTCACTAAGTTTTGCAGAATCGCTTCATAACAACATTGTATCACCTATGTTTATTGCATATTATTCTGATGCTCTTTATTAATTCCTTGCTGGCTCTCTGGTTGTATTGATGTCAAAAATAGTATTGTATCAGAGTAACATCCTTTATACACTGCCATTGTTTATTATTCAAATTGTTATAAACTGTTCCTTTACTAATCACTTAAGCCTATCCTTAATGGGTTCTTAAAATAGTTTGAAAATTGGTGATTGAATAAATAATTTGCCAAATCTGTATTATTTAATTATTTAGATTAATTTTTGTTGTTACAGCTTTTCATCTTTTATAAATGCGAAATGTGAGGAATTAACGGATAAGCCTCAGTTCATAACTAATATGAGGGCACATGTACTACTTGTAACAGCTATTAGCATCCTTGCTGTGGATTTCCCAGTTTTTCCAAGAGAATTTGCTAAAACTGAAGAATTTGGTTGGAGTTTAATGGATGTTGGTGTTGGCTGTTATGTGTTTATGAATGGATTAGTAGCTCCAGAAGCCAGAGGAAAAATAAATCAAAATAGGTAAGAATTTCTAGTTATTAGTAACTAATGGTTTTCAAATCATACAATTCAGATTGTTTTTTTGTTACTAAGTTTTGTAAGCATTATTTCCATATTGGAAGCATTGTTATATTATTCATAAGAAGAAAACGATAATTTTTTATCCGTCAAAAGGTACTTAAATTTTACCCTAATTTGGGAATGTTCACAATTTCAACTAATAAAATAAATTATTCAAGCTAGAACTGTCTCTCAAAAATAAAGCTAATACATGAACTTGTTATTTAGTTTATCTTGTTCTGAATATTATAACTGAGCCTATTCTGTGCATTGATAGTATGCAAATGTAGTATGATTTTCATGAATTTGGATGTTAAATAAGTGGCCTTTTCAGAATTATAAGTGATTTACATATAAAAGATCAGAAAATATAAAAGTATTATTGAATATAGAACTAATGAATTGGTGAAGTATTTTGTAGATAAAATGACTGTATTAGATTTAGAATACAATTAAATCTAGCCATAGATTACATGTTGAGACATCTATATATGGAAAGTAAAATCATCTTAAGACACTGCTAGTATGTGCTGCTGTAATATTCATTATTACATCAATTAATGAAAAGTAAATTCAGTCACATCTTTTTTTAGAAAAGGTAACAAAATTTAAAAATTGATGTTACGCTCTCTCTGAAGTTTATATGTGAATAAAATAAAGCATTGCTATTTTCTGTGATAAAATGCATTGCTTGGAAGTTCACATTCACCTGAGGGAGACACATTTCTCAATGGACTGCTGATATTCTACACTATGAACATATCTGGAATCTTTAAGTTGCTTTTCAATTTCCATATGATGTTTTGCAAAATATTTTTCTCAATCTTTTATTTTGTAACACCTGTATGTGGCACAGTGGGTACAGTATTATAGAGTATTACAGTAGAGCAACACAATTTGTTGCGTATTCACATGTGCAACCAAGAAAAATCCTTTAGTTTCAGATATTCTATTCACCTCTCCACTAAACAGATTGCTAATATCTTACATCACTCTCAAGCCTTTGAACAAACCTCCACTCTTGCATGTAATAACATGCACTGCACCAGTCTGTAATGCAATCAGTATTAGACTATACCTCTCCTTCAGTATGAGGGCAACACATCCTCCATGTGCAATAGTCCCCTTGAGCACTTTATGTATGTCAAAAACTCATTCTTTTCCTCAGTAGAGAATGTTTGAACTTATTATTTTCAACTTTTGTCCCTTTATTTTACTAAAGAAGAACTCCAATTCAAGAAAGAAAGATCCAAGTTTCATACATTGTTGTGATTTCTTCTCTTAATCAGACTATTAAATTTTGGGAGATGTGTCCTAGAGCTATGATGTGGTTTCTTTTACATGAATATTCCCCATCATCATTGAAACTCCCGTTACATGCTCAGCCAAATCAGCCAAGTTCTTGACCACAAATTGACCTTTATAGTTTTCATACTATAACTTCTAATATGTTTTTGTGTATTTTCAGTAAGTATTAAGGGTCTTTTGCAGACAAAAACTAGAAGTTTAATGAAGTATTCTCTCTAAAAATTTCTGCATGATTATATGGAGTCAAAGTGTTGACTACTCTAAGTGCAAAAGTGATTTTCATGTTAAGATTAAAAATACTTTTCTTCAGTGTGAACTGAAAATCACTTTGCACTTAGAGCAGTCAACACTTTACTCCATTTAATCATGCCTACATATATAGGGAATGGACTCTCATTATCTTTGGAGTTTCTGTAGCTTTTTGCTCTTTCTTTATACTTTGTGTAACAGTTGTACTACGACAGCTGTGTAATAGCTAGGTCTGAATTGAAAATACCATTCTGAAACTTTAATTTGACATCTGTACCATATACAATCCTGCATACAAACTGAAGAAGTGCTGGTGGAATAGAAATCCTATGAAATTCTATTTATATGTGCTGTATAATACTTTACAAATTATGGTTTAAACACTGAAAGCTGGAAAAGTATTGACTGCTCTAAGTGCAAAGTGATTTTTGTTAAAATCAAAAATACTTTTCTTCAGTGTGAACTGAAAGTTCTCAAATTTCAGTTACATAATTTCTAAAAACCTCCTAAAAAATATGACACCATTTTCTTCACTAAAATTTTATATTTTATGTTATTTTCTCTATCCTAACTTTTTACGATGTTGATTTTAAATAACCTCATACCCACCATAGAAAAATATGAAATAATCTAAATTATCCTTTTTTTCTTTCTAGAATGTCTTCAAATCATAACATGAAACTACATTTGTTTGTTGTAAATAGCTTTAAATTGATAACAATATTAGTATATATATATATATATATGTACCTTATATTTTACTGTTTTACTGCTCCTTTGATCGTGTTTAACAAATATTTCTGCCACACAAGTAGTAAATCACTTGGCGAACATCTAGCTCACGTTACCCTATAGAATTACAATAACACACGGCTATTCGTGAGTTGGCCACGAGTGTACTTTGTTAACAGTTTCCATTATTATTATTATTTTACCTAATCTAACCTTAAAAGTTTCAAATTTTAGTTACTTTTATAATAATAAATAGAGAATGCACATGAAAAACAAGAAAAAAGTTTGTATTTGGGTCTTTCGCTTGTATTTCGTTTGTATTTTTCGCTGTCGACTGTTGATGAAACTTAAGCATACTTTTTCAAAACATACTTACCCTCTGCTCACACTTTAGCTATTCCTTCACATTGGGTTTGCCTATTTAAGCATTGGTCTTGCATGCTCTAGTCTTTTATACTTCACTTAAATTCCCTTGGCAATATCTAATTTGTAAATTCCTCCACATGCATCAATGCGCCCTCTATTCCAACACTATATATACACCTCACTCAGATAATGTAATCACTTTTTCTTGACAACGCAGTAGTTATGGTTTTGTGTAACAGAGTGCTGTGGTTATGGTTTTGTGGACAAAGTGCTGTGGTTCATTTGGTTATGGACTGGTTTTTGCATTGCCTTAAAAAAATATATGGGTTGGGGGGGGGGGGTTGCTCTCAGTTGAGGCTGTCCTTGTTTTGATCTGTTGAGAGATGGAAATATATATATTCGACCCGGGGTGTTTTTCTCCTGGGGCCTCTGAAGTTGCCTTTTTTTTTTGTTGATCCTGGTTATTCTAGGGAGAATTTGGACACGGTTTTTTCTTATACTTTTCTTTACTAAGTTGACTTTTCACAAGTCCAATTTGGATTAACCACTTTCTACTCCTTTTCTTCAGTTAGTCAGTTGGGTTAGGAGCTTTTGGGGCTGTTCTCTGTGACCTTTATATGTGTGTGCTCCTCCCTTGATGGTGGAATGGTCAGGAGGGTACTATTTAGTTTTTCCTTCTTCTCCTGATAATCTTCGTTCACGCTGAGGGATTTACTGCTTTATTACATGATGGGATAGATATACCTTATACCCTCATTTGTCTGTTTGCATGCTTTGGGTTTCCACCTCCAGAGGGACATATTTTTTCACTTTCACGGATTAAAATTACTTAATTTTGGATTTGTGGGGTTCCAGGTTGGTTCATGTGATCACTTGAACCAGTTACATTTTTTTGTATTTGTTTGCTCCTCACTTGTGCTCTGTGATGTTTCTTCCCCTGCAAATTGTTTAGCAGCCTATCAATGATTCCCACATTAATTTGCAGACAAATGGAGTCTCCTACTGACTTTTACCTTGGTCAGATTGCCTGCTTCTGTTCCTTCTTTAGAGATACCTTGGTGAAGGGACTTTGTATACCTGCTGTAGCCTCTGGGTGTCATATATGACTTCCTTTTTTCATCACTTCATGTTTGCGGGTGTCCCTTGAGGCATTTGTGTTTCAAATTGCCATCACCCGTTTGATTTTGTTGTTGTGGTTGCTGGGGCATTTCTCCACATTCTCATAGTGAATTCATCTTGCATTTATCTATGTTTTGTATACAAGGATCAGGTTTTGTAGTTCTTGGATCTAGTCTTTCATCTAGCATCAGCACCATAAGTCTTCTGCTGGGTTGTAAATGTTTTCACCATGTTTTGTGCCCAAATCAACCACCTCCCATCTAGCTCCAGGCTATGGAATGGGCAGTTAGGCACTTACTTTCAGGGAAGGTTCTGCCTATGTGGTTGTGGGCTTCCCTCAGATCTCTTGCATTTTTTGGGAGGAGGACACATACAATCCTTTAAGTGCTCCCATTGCAACAAATGGATTTGGAACTTCAATACACTGGACTTTCCCGTCTCTTTCTTCAGGAGCAACATCTTAGTTCTTGAGTGGTGGTTGGTTTGGATAACCTCTATCATTAGCATCTGTGTGTGTGTATATATATGCATGTACGTGGAAGTATAAATGTATACTGCCCCTCTGTCCATAGTTTCTCATCACAGATACTTCACTTGGGAAATGCAGTGTGTATCATTAAGGTCAGGAATTTTAGGATAATAGAGGATGCATCTTCATTCTCCATCAATCATTTAGGACTTTTTGCTGTTCAATAGGCAATAGTGCAAGATCTAGATATTTTGCAGGGGAATATCCTCATGAGACGTTTCATCAATTCCAGTGGTCTCTTAAATTTGGTTCTTTCTCTATTAGGCCTATTCCAATCATTTCAGCCTCCTGGCATGCCATTTTCATGGAGGTGATGTATTTCATTGAAGATTGTCAGTCTCAGTCCTCTCTTTCTCTTGAATGAATGGATTCTTTGTTTAATTTTAAAATTTGGTTTGTTTAAATCTATTGTATCCTATACTAATTTACATTGTGTGTTTAGGAATTTGTTTTTCTGTGAACTACACTCACAGTTTTGAAGCTAACAGGATGAATAGATATTACATATAAGGCACTTGTTTTTAACTAGTTTTCATACTTATATAGTTTCCCATACTGTTTTTAGAAATAAGTTTCAAGGTTATATGGTATCATAAATTATTTTGTACACCAAACCATGTATTATGACGAAGTCATAAAACATGATACCTTACTGTACTTTCTTTTAAACACATATATTACTAAATGTTTGCCGAAGTCCATGTTTGAAATGAATATAGCTAAGACTGTGACTTGGCAACATGTAACCACATTTCTTCATTTTGAAATCTTTCTTTTTTGCATATTATGTCTAATATTTTTTACCCTTTTTCATTGTGAGTACTTTTCTTAAGTTTATTGTAGTTTTACGGTGTATAAATTATATACGTAGATTTATATCACTGTTTATAGTGTCACAGTACAGTTTAATATTTGCATAATGACATGTGGTACAAGATACTGTTTGTACATGTCAGTGGAGTAATACAATAAAGGTGACTTGTCAAACTGGACAGGTATGTGAATAGTGATAGAATAAAGAACTGCATGAAAAAAATCACTCAACAATGCAAACATATAAATTTGTTAATTTTCTTGTGCTACTTTAATGAGAAACACTAAGTAGATACTATTACAGAATTAAATAAATGCATTATAAGGTTATTTGTGGACATTTTGTAAACTTTTTTCATAGTAAAATAGAGATATGACGTTTTTTCTCTTCTTGTAACAGTTTAGGCCACTTTAATACTTGTGTGAACATATTATTATCAAAGTATAACAGCAATATTATCTTTTATATCTACAGTAAGATCACTTGTCTATAATAATTTGCTCACTCTAGAGATTTTATTTCAGATTAAAAGATTAAAGCATGAATTATCATGACTTATGTTTATTAAAATGAAAAATCTCATCCTTAATTTAGTCTTGATCAGAGGTGTTACATCTGTTTGTGTATGTTAAATATAGTTTATGCTATTATAAAGCAGAATGTGATGAAGTGCTAATATTTTGTGCCTTATGTATTCAGTATTAAGACCAACAATTTTTGCTTCTCAAATATATGAATTTTATGAGTGATATAGTAACCAAACTGATGCTTTAAATATCAGATGTCTTTATTGCATATTTGAAATTTATATAAAAGAAAATACATTTAACTGAAGAAATGATGATACTGCTCTATTTGTCATCCTTTAATTATTTTTTTACATAATTGTGTACATTTTTCAGTTATTGGGAAGAAAACTGGTTAACTCAAGCAATATGATATTATATTGTCCTTGAAGCTTGTAGATCAAAAATCAGTTGTAAATATTTGTGATCTGTCTCTTACTGTTTTTTTCTATAGATGGACTTCAGTCTTCAAAACTTTCCTGTCTTCCTGTCCTTTGTTCGTCTTGGGCTTTGGAAGACTTGTGGCTATTAAAGCTACAAATTATCATGAACATGTTACAGAGTATGGCGTTCACTGGAATTTTTTTCTTACTCTTGCACTTACCAAGGTAGCATATTTTATTATAAAAACTGTCTTTGAGGACTAGTTTACTTAATATACACTGCATAATCAAAACATGTTTTTTTTCCATTGATACTGCAATTTTTGTGTACTCTTTTAAAATTAAATATGAAGAAACCATTTGTATCTTGTAAAATTAATATTTTTTCTTTGGTAAAATCCTACTATATTCTAATAACTGAAAGACTTAAAGGAAATCCTAGGATGGAAAATTAGTGAAAAGAGATCTTACTTGTTGTACAACTTACAATTCATTCATCAGATTGTCATATTCATAAGCTTAGACATTTATTAAAGAAAACTAGACAGATAAGAATGTATATGTATAGTACACAAAAGAATTATTGCCATAGAAGAGCGCACATGGTTAGAGACTGTGCCAGCATTTTCCCAGTGAGGGAACTGCACATATGTTATAGTACTTAGGAAGTTAACCAGCTTTAACAGTTAGCATTGTTCATTAGGTGTGGGGGCTACAGGGAATGCTAAGGCACATTTTGGCATAATTTCAACCCCAGTTAGCAACTTATTACTGCTACCTCTGCACATAGTTAATCCTATCGAGATGGGTAGGGGTCAGAGGGCGTGTCATCGTGTTTGTAGATTTACATTCAACATTTTATTTAGTTATTATTTCATAAATCTATGTCAATAAGTTTGGTATAAAATTGTAGATTATAATTTAAATTTTAGTATTATTCATTAGTTGGTTTCTTAATTTGATGCTAAATATAAAAAAAAAAGCTAAATATCGATTTTTTTGTGTGTCACATGGTACGTGGCCTTCTGGGTTTAGTCAGATTACATTTTATGATGCCCACAATACAATGTCTATAGCTTTGTATGAATCAGAAACTCAAATGTTTGATATTGGCAAGCTAGAATAAAATATCTACAGAAAATAACTGTGAAAAGGTGAGAGCATAAGTACTTTGAAATTTTGTAATCACTACTAACAATGCTATACATTTTATTTTGTAACCTTTATTTTTGTTATACTTTGATAACTTACCTACAACCTGGAGAAATAAGTATAATGTTACAGTACAAATAGTAACAAATAAAATATAAAGCTTTACTGAAAATAAAAATGTTTTAAATTAAATTATGATACTTTTTATTTGTTTTCACTGTTTCTTATTATAAAAGTAGCTAAAATCATAAAAATAGAAGTTGTTAGGTAAGATAATGAAAGAAAAATAATAAATACCTTCATGGGGTATACGTGTCAGAAGCTTCTGCATTATGCTGTTTGATAGGATCATGTCGATGCACATGTGCCATGTAATTTTCAACTTCTGTTGGGAAATGTTTAGTCAGATGCAGTTCAAAGGTCAATAAAACAAAAATTAATAAATATAAATAAATTTATACTATTAAGAGATTTAAGTTATTTAGAATAAACATTTGTGGTTTCCTATTTACAATTTGCAGTTATTCTAGAACAAAAAAGGTAATTTAAATTTATTTCCTAATTTCTATGATGGTTATGCGGTCGGTCAAATTGAGCAACACCATATAGAGTAAATATTGATAACATAACAGATTAAATATAAAGTTTTATTTAAAAAAACATTTGATAATTATCTAGAAAGACATAGAAATCATCCAAATGAAACTTGACAAATTTCAGACAAAGAAAAGTATTTTTGAATCTTAAAGTCAAAATTACTTTGTATGCTGGATAGTCAACATTCTGAAAAAAAAAAATTCATGAGCAAATATTTAAGAAAAAATCTTAAAACATAATTCAAAAACCAGGTATTTTGTGTATGAAATCCTTGTAATGTTTACTAATAATCTATAAAATTTTGTAGACTTGCCTACATTTTCAAACATTATAGTACAATTACTCTCATAAATACTTTCCTGGTTACGGGCTGGATGGAATCCACCCAACCCGTAATGGAAGAGTTGCAAGTTGAAACACTCCATTATGTATGTAGATACTTACTAATTATATTGTGAATAAGAAAGTCCAAATGCATGTTGGCAAGTGTCTTATGTTGTGTCTCATGTTTTAGTATTAAGAGCCATCCACTTTCATTGAAACTAACTTGTAACTTGTGTACATGTAATAAAAGCATGACCACTGTGTTCTAAATAATGTAATATTTTGTGTGTGCATTAGGTTTATATATTAGATGTTATTAACCATGAAGTGAAAATAATTTGACAGTTAATTTGATTGTGATTTTTTCAGATATATTATACTTTTGTTTCTTTTGTGTATATATATATATGATTATATATTACTGAGTAAGTAATATGTCATTTATTATAAATTCCTATGTAACAAAACTTCATTTTTTCCTTGAAATCATTTAAGAATGTTCTGAAGCAATCACACACATGCACAAAATACCAATTAACATGATAATCTACACCATCCCTTGGTGGGACAATGGTAAGTTTAGAGGCTTACAATGCTAAAATATGGGATTTCATTCTCAGTGATGGACACAGCAGATAGCCCAATATGGCATTACTCTGAAACAGTCATATACTTCCTTTAAGAGGGAGTTGTCTTAACACTAATTCTGAACTGGTTGCCTGTAAGATGTACAGTTATGGGCCACTACTGTTCAGAACAACTCTGACTGCACAAAATTTAGGATATAGTAGTTGATAGAGTTAGTGACTTTATAACTAAGTTATTGCATTTGTTTTACAACATTATAATACAAATACAGAAAGCTTGATTGCTAGGTACAATTGGTGAAACAGCTAATGAGTCATCAACTGCATATCTAGGTCTCACTATTGTTCCAAATAACTACATTGGCCTTGATGTGCAAAAAATTGAGAAACCTTAATCTAATGCACACTGAAAAATAAAATGCCTCTTAATGTGATAAACCTCTCAAAGCTACACACGAGATATGACATAGTACCACCCTTTATGAAACATTAAAAAAATTGAAATATGCCTTACATATAGGTTTTGCATAACCTTTTAACAAGACAGATCACAATCATAACTTCTATATGACCAAGGTACATATAATTCAATTAACTATCTGACCTACGATGAAAGAACTCTTCACTACATATACAACCATATTTTAAAAAATCCCTTGACAGTAAGACAACACAAGACATGTCTTTCAACATAGGTAACTCTATTGTTTCCAAATACAAGAATACAAAATTTACATTAAATCCTTTAACATAATATTACAAAAATTACTTTGAATCCTTTAACACAGAAATTACTACAGAAATCACAACAAACAAAACCACATGGTTACAGTAAACAAAATTACAACACCCTGTAAAAAAGAATAATATATAATTGTAATAAGCCCTTTAACAAAGAAAATCTAAATATTTGATTAGAATACCATTAGAAAACTAGAACACCACGAAAAGAAAAATACAGATATATAATATATGTACAGCACTTTCTGAAATATTCAGAAAATATAAACAATGCAGAGATATATTTACTATTCTTTCAAATTACATATATTTACACTTACCCAGTAGCAAACACAAGGCCCCAATTCTCCTCATCTCAATCCCAGCAGCAGATGCTCTGAAGAAGTAGTGAATCGATTATTGATTGCTGTTCTGGCACCGATAAGATCTTGAACCTAGGCCAAGGCTTTCCTGGTCTGTACCAGTGAACCTGGCTAACCTCTTCCTTCAGTCGACAAGTCAGAGTGTCCTCCGCAAAGTTATACAGCGTCCAGGCCTCTATCCATTTTGTCACTATCCCTTAGCAGTGCCAATTTAAAATTGAGACCTGCTGCAGAGTTAACTGAATGATGATGATTCATAGGGTACTTGGTAAGTTGATCCTCAGCACCCTTTGTAGTGCTGAACATGCTTAGAAGTTCACTGTCTCCAGTTTCACTACTGGTTTGGGCATTATTTTCTTAAGTTGTGGTTCAGGGGCTATCACTAAAGTCATAGCCAATGTGGTTATTTGGCCTGTCATGATGATGGTTACTCAGAAAATCTTTGTCACCATTGCTTGGCCCTGGTCTCTCAGCTTTCAAACATCCTTTTGGGGCCAAACCGGCCCTCAAGATGACTGCCGAACCAGGATGAAATGACCTGAATGGAAGTGAGCACACATTTGGTAGTTCTTGTATGGTTTCACATTCTATGACTGGACATTTCAAACAGGAGCTACATTGCTTGGCTAACTGTTCTGGTTCCTGTTTCACAGAGGCTAAGGTAAGCATGAGGGATATCTCCATGGGTTATGATGCCTCCTGTGAAATTGGTTCCAACAGCAGAGCCAAGTCTTGTGTTATTGTTGGTACCAGTATATCCACTATGGTAATAGCTTCCTATGGGCAGTCTGAGGTCTACTAAGGCTGTCTGGCTTCTGGAGATTTTAGGACTAAGCCAACAACAGGTGTTACAGGATTTAATACATCAGATGCATTGGCAAGTGACTGTCATATCAAATGTGAGCTCCTCTTTCAACAAGAAGGTCTGGGTGTATTCCATTCTCCATGACTGCAGTATGAAACTGGGATTTCAGTGCACAAATACTGTAAGACTGGCTAATTAAAGATAAAATGGCCAGTATTGTTCAGAACACCAAAGATCTGGATAGAAAATGATAGTTCAATGAAATCTAATTCAGACCTGCCTACAGCTATGATTTTGCCTTAGTTGCTATGTAAAAATGATCTCCTGCTATGGTAATTTTGGTATAGTTATAATGACCATGTGGTCATATGGTGTATTCGTTTCATTCAAAGTCTTCATTTTGCTTGAAGTCCTCCATGAACATATAAGCCCTGTTGCTCTATTGAGCATGCACATACTTTCTATGGAAAGCAAGCCACTGGCCATTGCAAGTCAAGCACAAATTCTCAGTGGCTGCCTGTAAGCAATTTTTTTCGCGTGAAAGAAGTAATCATGGCACAAAGAAGGTTGAGAGAACAGCTAACAGTATACATTGATTTGCACTTCACTCTTTAGTGTTCTAAGATGTATGGTAATTAAGAATGCATTCACCCAATC